GACGATGTCGCTGAGGAGGATGGCGACAACGCTGTTCATGCCGCCGCCGCCAATGCCGGCTATGGCGCGGGCGACGCAGAGCTGGGTGAAGGACTGTGCTAGGCCGCAGCCCAGAGAACCGAGTGCGAAGACTGTGTAAGCGAAGAGGAGGCACTCTTTGCGGCCGAAGATGTCGCTGAGTTTGCCGTAGAGGGGTTGGAAGCTGGTGAGGGTGATGTAGTAGCTGTGGGCATCATGTTAGTACTTCGCTCTTCGTTGTCTTACATCGGGCATGAAGCCGGATGAGATGAGTTTCTCTGAGGGTGAGGGAGGGCGTGTTACTCACGATGTTGCGAGCCAGCTCGTATAATTCAGCGCGTGAAGCTCGCTCCCAATCTTGGCGTACGTCGCCACGGTGAGCAGCTGGTCGACAGCGCAGAGATAGATCTAGAAAAACACCAGTTAGTCCCTGCCGAGTTCTGAGCGGTCGACCTGAGCCGCTGCCGGAGGCCTTGCGCCGAGGAAGGGACCCGGGCTGGAGTGGAACCTACGCCGATACCGACGGCCGGAAGAAGAAAGTGCATCTTCTTGGCCATCTCCGGGTTGCCGTCCCGATTTTCACCGGCGTCAGTGTCGTTGCCGTTGCCATTGGCCGCCTCCGAGTCGGAGTTGCGCAGTAGCGGCGACGTCTCCGTCGGAACGGAGGTGCCATTGACGGAGCCGGTCATCTTTGCGGAAACGAAGTAACGGCCGAAACTAATGCTGCTGCTGTGCTTTGGGAACCTGATGGAAATTACTGGCGAGACTTCTGCTGTCTTTCCCCCCTTTTGCCAAAACGTTGAAATCGCTCTAAGAGCAGGATAGACAATACCAATTGCCGGTCGTTTATGAAGTCAATTGATTTTCCCTATCTCTCCCCCGCTATCTCTCCGACTTTCGCATTGTGGCCGACGAGGATTTCTAATCTGCCTCCTGCATACAGTTAAGCTCCGTTTCTGTCGGGGTCCTCATCGGATGGTTGGCCGCCCGATAAGCCCAGGCCGGGCCTTATCGCCTCTGACGACACTCCCGCAGCGAAGCACGTGATCGCAAAAGTCTCTTCAAGAGTGGAGCCTGAAGAGCATTTTGGCTCAAATTGTCTCCCGTCCCGAGTCCTACAAACAAAAATCAAGACAGCAAAAGAGATGTTGATCTGAACCCTAGTTCGTGATTTGGTTCGGATCCAGGTCGTACTGGAACAGAGACTTTCTGCAGTCAAGTCCTCGATGCGAAACCTTCATCGACAACGGCGAACCAAAAAAACAAGAATGCGAAGACACGGCCACCGGGCCAGACTGTGACGGAACCAGGGTTGTTAGCCGGTAAGGTGGAAATGTAACGGCGTCGGAGATCAAATCGGCCTGGTGTGCTTGGCAACCCGTTCACCCGCTTCACTGCTCCCAAAACCCATAACCTCGTAGGGGGAAAACTCCTCATATCGCCCGGCCTTCGACCGAATCGCCCCGAGCTTCCCGGACATCAACTGACCAGTCACCTCGTTAATCAAATCAATCGACCGGCAGAGTAGGTAAGCAGCGCCAGAGAGATCAATGAACTGTAGTGTGAGTGTGTGACCGAGGGAGCTCACCATGATGTGGAATGGGGACGGATCGAATCTCATCTTAAAAATCCTGCCGGTGTGAAACAAACCGTCGCGTCTCTGCTCCATCCTTCCACAAAGGCTGCCCCAAAAGTCATTTTAATGTTAATCTATATTTTCCGCAATGCGGGTTCCCGCAAGAACGTAACCTGCGTGCTGCGATGCGAACCATTCGAGGGCGGGCTAGACTTGGACCAACAGGAACAAGGCCTTTGTCGTTGGTCCGCTGCAATGCGTCCTTTTTCGTGCCAAGCCCGCGGATGTCGCTCCTCAATCAAACGGCCACTTGTCTCATTCGAATCGACTCATTGAGTGCGGAGTACCTGACAGCGTGGGAAGCACTTTGGAATAGCGTCGGCGATTCTCGTGTGCTGTACCACATCTTTGAATAGGTTCCAGTCGATGTCGTCTCACGATCCAACACTCCTCCTCGCGAATGTAAGCTTTCAATAGTCAAAGGTCGACGGATGGCAGAGTGGTACGCAGTGCGACCATGGCACATCAGACCCCTTATGTCGTCCCAACTTTGTGCGTCTGCAAGGCGGGAGACTGGAGTTGGACAACTTGTCGTCATCAAAAAAGCCCTCTGGCGTTCAAGGGGGGGCACAGGCCACAGGGGAAGCCCGGCGGAGGCACGGCACCCCTCGGTCTGAAGTGCTTGCAAGGTCATCCCAGGAGCAGGCGTGTGAGACTCGGATGGCCGAGGAACTCAAAATGGCTCAAACCTGCTGTTCATGCGAGCGACAAGGGCATTGCGCTGTTATGTGTAGGCACTCACGTAGGGTTCCCTCCGGGGCACTACTCCGGTAATAAAGCCAGTTTTGCAGCCGCAGTATACTCTTTCGACACCAGGCGCAGCTCTCAGGGGGTTTGATCCGATGTTCATCAGACTTGTATTTCACGTCGTCTTTGCTGAACCGATCCCGCGTCAGGGGGGACGCGGGCAGCGCGGGCTCCTGGGCTTAGCGAGCCGCAAGGCACCCACATATCTCTGATGCCGGACGGGGATTTGAACGTGAGATGTGACTCCGCCCTCGACCCAGCAGCCGTAAGGCTCTGAAGTCTGGTTGGCTTCCCTGATGCAGATCGCTATATGGCAGGCTCGGGTCGCTACGATTTCCTGTGAATGGGCGTTCATGGCGGCGGACCTAGAAACGCGAGCGGCGAACGCAGACCAGCTGTCAATGATCGTACACGGTCTAGAAGGCACAGTTAGTTGACAGATTGCAAGGCTAGAGCTCGAGATCGTAATAGTCTAATCGCGTGCGTCGCGCTATGTCTACGCACGGGCGAGACATCATGCGGGTTTAACCTCTGCCACGTCGAGGGTGGCTGGACGGCGGCCTCTGTTCAGCTTCAACGAGACTGTGCGTGGGCTGCGATTGGTGACTTTTGTGACCTCAGTTCTCCCTGCTTCGAGTCTGCAACGGTGCATTCCATTAGGTCCCACATCCCACTGGACAGGCCATGATGCTAGTAAGGTAATTTCGATTCCGCAAACAGGCGTTGCGGGCAGAAACGGCGGCCCACCAGTAGTTTAGCTTGAGTGCAATCCTCTGTTTCTTTGAGGGAATCGTTCGTGATGGCGCACATAATAGCATGGATAGGTAGGTAGCCATGGTAGCGCAGAAGAAATCGAGCGTTCTGGTAGCGATGCCGATACCGACTCGAGCCAAGTGCGAAACGAGGTGCATGTCGCCTCAACACGCGGCATGGCGGCTGAGGCGCAGGTAGGGTGCCATCCATCACGAGCATCATGGAGGACGTATCCATATACGCGCCGCAAACGAATTGTCGTACAGATACGCCGGAACAAATCATCGGATGAGGGAGACGAGATTCTTGTCGTAGGGGCCCTGTAGGTACCTCATCTTGGATACTCGGCTGGCCTCGCCATTTGGACTCTGTAGACAGCTGACGAACGAGGCCATGGCGTCATTTGGCGAACCCTTCAGAAGTTGAGAACGAAGGAGTGAGGAGAAGCCCATGTTGTACAGTCAACTCGTAACAAGATGCATTCTCGGCCATTGGGATGTACGATCCGTAGTGATTAAACGCGGGCCTGGGTCGAAGGAATACTGGCAGTCCCCTCCATCAGCGGGCTGAAACAGCCTACTAACAATCGAGATGGGAATTGGGGACGAGTGGTCATTGGTGACGAAGAGGGCAGGGGTAGTGGTCGAGTGGTGTGTTGGAGGCACGCCTGTCTTGTCTTCTGATTAATGTCTCGAAGCTGCCGCGACCGAGGCATGCAGGATAAGATTAAAGATGGGATTGAATCAGGAGCCGCATGCGCATGTGCGTGAAAGCGAAAGCCAGTGGGCTTTTGGGTTGCGTGAATGCAGACTGTAGGTATTCGCTCGAGAGAATGGATGCGTTCGGGAAGAGGTCGATTGTGAGAGAAGAGTGGCTGGCTGTTGTGTTGCTGAGTGATTCGTAGTCGTAGACTCGTGGTAGCGGTACGAAGTAGTGCGCTTTGGAGTCTGGAGAGTAAGCACAGCCCGGATTGCGCATGGGAGGGATTGACATTGACAGCTGAAGCCTGAAGAGGTGGCCCCGTCTCGGCCTCCGTTGCCCGTGAGTAGAGGTAGGTTGATGATGCAGGTGCCGATGGTGGTGGACTGGTGAGGTGGTTACCTAGGTACCTTGAGGTGGGTGCGCTGTCAAAGTCGTTGTCCATAGTGAAATTGGTGGTGGGGTACATGGGGACGTGTCAAGACAACTGCGAGCCGCCACTCCACCAGCCCCAGCCGGCCAAGCAGTGCTGCCAGACTGCCAGTGTGCACGCACAAGCCAGCCCCCAAAGAATAACCCAGCCCCGAACAACCCCGGCAAGTGTTGTTCTGTTCCTGAATCCTGCTTGCAATGCCTGCTTTCATTGCAGGGCTGCCGATGTCTGCTGGGACGCTGAGGAGGGTTGCAACTGCCAATTGCTCCGCACTTTGAGATGGGAGGGGCCGGATCCAGTCTGACGGAGCCAATGACGGACATTGTGGTGCCACGGTGCCGTAGTCGTCCAGGCAGGCAGGCACGCTAGCAAAAATAAAATAGTGCCTTTTGTCGCGAAGTAAATGGAAGGATTGCGATGCTTTACCTTACCTAAGGTACTTCAAGTAGTTACCTAAGTAGCTTTTGGCTGCTGACAACACACTCAAGATACTTCACCCAGCATGTCTTCCGTCCAATTATTGAGGTGACCTTTGGTGCTTACCTTAGGTACCTAGTAAAGGTAGGCAGGCAGATACCATGGTAGACACGCCTACATGTTAGGCACGCCGCGTATCCGGACCCCTTGGTACTAACGCATCTGAGGTCCAGTGCCTTTTTGCATTGCTGACGAGGTGGGCAATCCACAAGGTACTTTTCCACCTTGAACATATCGATGACATCTTTGTCAATCCCATCCCAACTTTCCCAACTTCCCAACCACAGAGAGAGGGAAGACAAGGTCAATGTTCAGACACCCGGCCCCGTCGCAGGGTTCTCCGTGGCTGCCAGCTTTAAACTTGAAGCCGAACTTACACCCCCCTCCCCCCCCTCTACGCACTACGCACTACACTTCCTTACCACCTCACCTATTACCCTGTACTCTCTCTTCCGTCTCCCATCTCTTCCGGTGTCATTCACTCATTGTTCTGCTTCTGCCACCCCGTCAAGTTACATTCTTATCCAACCAACTCCTGGACACTCCTCTCAAGTTTCTTCTTTCTCCTTACCAAGGTACTCCTTATCCTACAGGCATATGCTGCGGTCCTCGTCGCGGAATCCTCGTCTACTCCTCCCTACTCCTCAATTCTCAAGACCCTTGATGCTTGTTTCTCCTAGCATCGCAACACTGCGGCACTGAAAATACTCAACGTCGTGGCAAAGGCAAACCCACCCCTCGAACTTCATCGCTCCAATCAACCTGTTCAAACCGTCGTCCCACGTTCTCGAGTCCCACCAGCCCTCCGTGGTCAGCTTCCGGTGCCTTGACCCCCCCTGGCCCTACCTCCTTGGTGATTTCCTCTAGCCAGCCGATTGGTGAGAGTCTAAGCAGACCAAAAACTACATCCGCAGTCAAGCCAAAGAGAAGTGAGGCAAGGTAGCAAAGGGGAAGGGGTAACGGAGTACGCAGTACGGATACTGCGCCGTCATCCCAATTATAGGGTAACCCACCGCCATCCCATCCGGGGGCCCTCGTTCAAAATGGACTTCCTCCGTTCTCACAGTCGCAAGGGAAGATCCCGCTTCTCAAAAGCCCTACCCACCCCTCCGTCTCCAAAGGCCGAATCTCTTCCCAAGTCTAAGCAGCTCCCTTCGATACCTCCCGTTCCTCCCCTCCCGTCCAAGAAGACGAAGACATTCGCCATGTCAGACAAACCGCTTCCACCACCGCAACCCCTCAACCAGTCTCTCCCTCCCCTCCCTCCTCTCGAGACAAAAGCGTTGCCCCCGGTACATATACCTCGCCGCCCAGTTGCAAAGCAAGCACCACCGCCCTCCGCCCCGGCGAACCAGCAGAAGCAGCAAGAGCAGTATTCTCCCGAGGACGAAAGGAACTCCATCGGCAGTCTGCTCTCGGCCTATTCAAGAAGCTCAGGGGAATCCCTCATCATGTCGCCGGATGGAAGCGCAAGTCAGAGAGATTCGAGCCAGGCATACAACTCTGAACAGTATGGGACAAGGGAAAACAAGATTTTGACGCCAACCTCGTTGTCATCCGGTGACAATGACCACTACGGCGCACAAAAGTTCACATCCAACAAGGGCCTACCACCTCACCCGGCCTACTACAATGAGCAGGCCGGCGCCGCTCCGGTCAACTCGGCACCCGCCCCGACTGCTGGCAGCCCGACAAGCTATGTATCGGCAGCATCGCCTCAGCAACAACAGCGACCACTATGGAGGAGGAGATCCGTAAAATCTGATCGTAATATAGAGGTGCCAGATCTACACCTAACAGTCAGCCACGGGTCAACCGCTGCTTCTTCTCAGCCGAACACCGCGCAATCATCTTACACAGCAACTCCTCCTCCGGCCCAGCAGCAACAGTTTCCTCCTCGCAGCACATCAAATCTTCCCGGCAGAAATATTCGCCCAGTTCCCTCTCAAAGTCAGGCGGCTCAGACGAACAACATGGGCCAAGAGGTCTCGCGGTTGAAGGAGAAAGTCCATCATTTGCGCGATGGTCAAAATGGCGCAAATGTGGGAACGTCTCATAGCGACACTGCGCTCTCGCCAACTCAACGCCTGCCGACTCCCGATTATGAGAAGGAAGACGTCAAAACGCCGGTTGTCGAAACAATCGTATCGCCCGTCTCACCCGCTTCCTCTCCCGAGCCTGGCCGCGAGCAATCGAACGAGTCCAAGCCTCCTATCCCCCGCAAAGCGGTCACGGCCCGCAACTTACACAACGCTCAAAGCTTGCCTCAAATGCGCGCAGATGGGCCTGTGACCAGCAACGAGGCTCCCCCGACAATCACGAGAGACTTTGCAGTCAGCCCTGTTAGTCCCGATCCTCAGAACCAGCTGCCGCCTCGGGCCGCCTCCAACAAGCAGCAGCAGCAGCAGCAGCAGCGGGAGTATGTACCCTATGCGCCAGCACCCGGATTCGCGCAGGGAGATATGCGACCTGCCTCGAGAGATCAGCGCCCCAACCAAGAACCCGTCGAGTACCGCGAGCTCAAGGTCAAGGACCTGCCGCCTGCCGACCCTCGCGCGTCGTTCTTCCCCATGCAGGGTTCCGAGCCTCCCAGCCCCGGCATGATCTACAAGGCTCTGCCGTTAAAAGAGAGCATGTTCGATTGCTACGTCAAGCACCGCACCATGGACCGAACTCGCAACCGCAACTACGCCCTAACATGCCAGACGTGCGGCAAGGCCGATACCGAGGATCGTTACAAGTGCCAGTTCTGCTACGTACGCATGTGCGCTTCCTGCCTGCAAATCTTCAACAGCAACCGCAGAGACCTCCGGAAGCTTATGGCTCACTTGGAGGGCAACCCTCAGAGCGGCGGCTCCCAGGAGCGTCCTCCCACGGCAGCTGGCATCGAGGCCCCCGAGAAGGAAGAGCAGCGTACAGACGCTCAACAACAGCAACAGAACCAGCAATCAGTCACAGCCTGATTGCCTTCAAATTCACATTTTTCCAATTCTCTTCTTGTTTGCTTGGTATAGGGAAATCACATGGTCATTTTCACTTCCAAGCGGTTTTTCAACATTTTCCCCGGCGGCCGGACTTTCACGGATCTTCGTCACCAAGGGAAAATGATCAACTTTCTGCATTGCGAAATTAGATAGAGAGGTCGATTGGCTGATACCCCTTCTCGACCCCAAGATACCAATGTTTGTCTATAGGAAGTCGTGGCCCCCAGGGAAAAGGATGGAAAAGGGTCACGCGCACATTTTTCTTGTTTGTTGGAAGGGATCACTACTACTACTACTACTTGCTTGATGCAAGCTCTGAGCATACGAAAACGAAGCTTGATAACGAGAAAGGACAATACAGGCAAATGGGGAAAGACAGGTTAACTCCAGATTTTGGAAGGGTGGGCTCTCAGAGAGCCAGAATTGAAGCCCGACTACTTTTTTCAAAAAAGAAGAAAAGGAAATTCAAAGTAAAGATCTTCAAGCTCGTATATGCGGTGAACTGTGGTGCTATATACGTCCCAGAACTCAGGGACACACCAACGAGAAGCGCAACGCTTCGTGTAATAAGCAAAGACGCGCAGGAACTGTTTCCTCGACTTGCCCATCTGCAAATGTGTCGGGGCACGACGTTCAGCGAGAAGGGGGGAGAAATCAGGCAGGTTGAGTTATTTACCGGATGTACCGGAAATTACTGCATCGCGTTGGCGGACACACGAGGGATGTTACGAAGTACGGAGTATCCATACGGACTGGTAGGGAGGGGTCTCATCGGAGAAAATAAACGGAAGGAAATAAAAAGACACCAGCTGAGATTCGCGAACAGACGGGGTGCCACTGTTCGGCTCAGCCCGCCGACGTTGGAGTCGAGGAGATCCAAGCGCCGGCGCTAGAAGACTCCTTGGAGTCCTGCAGGGCGATGGCTGGACCGGCCCGCTACTGCAATACTTTTGTTGTGGCCAGTTCTAACCATTAGCCATAAGTACCGTTCTATCTTAATGCAAACTCCCATCTGAACCTGGTCCTGATCCTCACCCATCATCGGCCCCCCACCGTCGCCCGGGCCCCTAGCAACCCCCACACCGCAAAGAAACCGTACGGCGCGGCCCCTGACGTCGAAAATCAACATCAACATCGCGAACCCGGCGGCCCTTTGGCGAAGATACCCACCGATTTCGCTGCGACCCTCATCAATCTCGCATTGGCGACTCTTTCGCTAACTCACCAATTGACCGAACAACCGACCGCGAGCGCGGGGTCCCCGCAGAGACCTCGAAACCGGGCCGCGACTCGCGCCGAGACCAGCGGGACCATCGAGCATCGGGAGAGAACCACCGACCTCCAGAACCGCATGATCACCACACACATACCAGAGACCCCGGCGTAGTCATGTCCTCGTCGCTAGCCCGCACCCGCTCCCTGCGAAAGCCAACGCAGGGCTCCTCGACCGATCTTCCCCCTACGACCGCAACCTCCGTATCCTCCTCGGCTTCAATCACGGCAGCTAGAGGCCCCGCGAGCTCGACCACAGGAGGAGCAGCAGCAGCGCCATCAGCGTCGGCGTCCACATCCCACCGCCCCGTATCCCCGAGTAGACTACCCGCGCCCCGGTCCCTCGCCGCAACACGTCCCACAACACGCACCGTCTCCGGCGTCAGCGTCGCGAGCAGTACAGCGGCGGCGGCCACAACCGCCTCCGAGGCGCCCAAGAAGAAGAGGCCGAACCCCTTATCGTCGCTGCTGAGCAGAAGCTCTTCGACGCGCCAACCAGCGTCCGTGACAACGTCGATTTCGACGAGACAGAGAGATGTGGTAGCAGGTGCTGGAGCAGGAGGAGGACTAGCTAGCTCGGGACCAATAAGCGCCCCTTTAAGCAGGACAAGCGCGCTCTCGGGCCTTACAAGGACGACTTCGACGAGGGAACCGGGACTGACACGGACGCGATATCCCGCAAACGCCTCGACGAGCAACCTCAGCCTCGTCTCGTCATCCAATGCTGCTGCAGGTAGAACCGGCGCTGGTTCCGGACCGTCGACGCCTACGACAGCGAGACCGACCACCTCGGGCGGTCTACCATCCTCAAGACGCGCCGGTGCACCAACGACGACTTCAACAGGAGCAGCAGCAACAGCGGTAGGAGCTGGGAGTCCAACAAAGGGCCACGCGCGCGCAAGGAGCGTCGCGACCCTGAACAACAGCACCGTCCTCCGACCCCCAAGCCAGACGTCGTCTACCGGGGCCACTGGCGCCGCACCGAGATCACGCCCGACGTCCCTATACGGCGCACCTCCGACGTCTTCCTACCCATCCTCAACAGCATCCACGACCACAAGACCCCGTCCCCCCTCAGCAACAGACCGCCTCTCCTCGAAACCATCCGTATCCTCCCTCTCCTCCGCAACAACCACAACATCAACGCGCACAGCCCGAGCAGGCAGCACAACAACAGCACCAACCCGCCAGCCCCTCAAACAACCTCAAAAACCGCCACCATCCCACCAAGCAGCAACAACAGCACCACCACACCTCGCCCGCCAACAAGCCCAACAACGACACCCCTCCCCAACCTCACCACCCAGAACCACAAAACCAGTCCTCCGCCCAGCCTTCTCGACCTTGCAACAGCACTACTCCCCCGCCAAATCCCTCGCCCCGAAACCCCTGACGGCAACCTACCTCGCCGCCCCGTCCCCGTCAAAACTCCCCGCCAACATCGCC